GACACATTTTCAGTCTGTCGCCCACTGCAATAAAAACACACGGGGCCCACAATGGATGGTGGTTCATCAAACAGAGGATCCTTATAGAATAGAGTAAAAACATGTAGAAGAACCAGGGACTAAACAGCAGCAGAGGCAGGAAAAACACTTAACAAGAAGGAAATGATTTCATGCACAAACACCCTCCCACAATCTATAGAAAACAAATAATGAGATGACATCTTCTTTTTTGAAATTTCCAGATCTGAAAGATAAACCTGCCATTTAGACGGAAGTTTCAAGTTCTGCAATGTAATTTTGACATAGGCATCAGAATATTGTGACAAGGGACAACAAATCTTTGCATAATTAGTTGTAAAAGTGTTCATTATGTTAAATATTTAGGCCCAACTTTGCAATGACAAAGCCCTTCCTGTGGTGTCACTAAAGAAGACCATGACCAGCTCCTGTTGTAGACCAGGCAGAGCTCCCAGTATTTACTGACGCTAACATGATGATGAACACATTGTATCCTTGTCTATATGGACTGTAAAGTCATGGTCAGGATCTTGTTGGCTGACAGCTGTTAAAAATATGGTAAAAAGACTTAAATATTGTAAAAAGTGCCCAGATAGACAATACCAACAGAGATTAGGACCACCCTCCTATTGCTCAGAGTATCACTTTAGATTTGTAATTAACTAGCTGTTGACTTTAATTTTCATACTATATATCCTTGATGTCTGTGCCACATGCTTCCTTCCCCTGAGCATCATAGATTTGTCCTAGGACCTACACTTTGAAATGTCCTGCTGACTAAGACTGTTTAGGAAACTATGCATTTACAAGCATCGGAACCAATATACACTGAAAACGTGTTACTGAAGACTGCACCACTGTGCTCTGGCACAGTGTAAAAAGTTAAATAAAGCTTAATACAATTGCTATATTTCAATATAAGGGAGACATCCTGAAATCCTTTACTCAGGAGGAAAGTGCCCCTCTCGACGAAAAACCCATGAAAGAGGCTTGTACGTTCCCCCAAATTGACTGGGAGTGGCCAGGAAAAACATGGGGTTCCACCCTCACATCTTGCAGATCTCCTGAGATTCCTGCAGATCATGGGGGTTCCACAGAACATCAAGGACAATTGCACATAAGCCTATGCCTCATCATTGGCTTCTATGCATCACGAATGTATAAGAGCCACATTCCCCAGGCTTCCTGCACTACCAGCTTTCCTAGAACAATCAATGAAGAAGAGGAATGGTTCCATAATATGGAGGGAACCCACGGAAAAGTTAATGCACCTCAGGTTGTATTATTTTTTGTGGACTGTCTGAAGAGCTTGAGGTTGGGTTGGGAGAACAATGTATATTCCATCCAGTTTCATCCTTGGTCTTCATGCTGCTGCAACTGGCCTTCCTCACCTCAGTACTACTATAATATAGCGCTGACCCTGAAAAGGCCTCTTTGAAGGATCTCAGGAGGGGAGATGGTGCTACAGTGGTAGCTGAATGCCCACAAGTAGAGGGTGAACTACATGCAGAGGCGCCATTCGTTTCTACTCCATCCTTTTCCAAATAAAACTCCCATTGAGGATGGATGGTTTAGTAGTTGATAGGGCACTGAACGTTAACTCAGGAGACAAGGGGTCAATTCCAGTATGATCTTAGGCAAATCATTTATTCCAGTTTGTGCCTCAGTTCCTTCTCTGTAAGATGGGGAAAATGCTTCCTACTTCACAGGGGATTAATGAGGATAAATACATTAGTGATATGGCGGTAGTGTGGTGGTAAAGGCCATAAAACTATCTAGACAGAGTAAAAACTGAGTCAGGCCTTTTTCCATCCATTTTTTTCAATCAAATATAACATCTATGCTTAAGCTGTACATATCACCACCGCATGTCATGTTGCAGAATTTCTATGTAGAAGCTGAGCTCTGATTAAAGAGCTTTTCATGAACTGTTCTGAGTGCAGTGTGTCCTGGCCACATTAATCTTTTCCTCCCCTGAATTTTCCCAGAATCGGTACCACTGCTGCAGAGAGAACGGATGCTTTTAAGCTTAAAGCACTTGACTGGGAGGATTCAGGAGATCTAGGGTCAGTTCCTATCTCTCCCAGAGACCTCTTGGGTGACACTGGGTAAGTTACTTTGTCTCTTTGTCCCTCAGCTCCCCATTTTTAAAGTGAGGGTAACAATGCTTCCTTTGTCCATCTCATCTATTTACACGGTAAGCTCTTCACGATGGGGACCGTCTCTCACTATATGTTCATACAATGGAACCCTGATCTTGGCTGGGGACCGTGTCACCATAATACTACTAATAAATACAAATAGTAATATTGTAACCCAGTAAGAAAATAAGCAGTGTTTAACTGGCTTACCAACATAACAAGAGTGGAAGTTTAGATGGGACCTTAGGTTCTCTATCAGGGTCTTATGGCATAGTTACAACAGGGTTCTCAGAAAAGCAACTCCATGACTACATAGGCCAGGTGTACTTTGCTAACTACTACTCTCACAATTAATCAGAACTCAAAGCATTCCATCACTTGAGATACTAGCACTGTGAAGGCCATTTGAAAAAGATAACAATACAAACCTACCTAACGACATTAATAGACCTGATAAAAGCACAGGGCTGTGGTCCAGCCCTCATTGATGAGTTTTGCCATTGACTTCATTGTCAGCAGGGGCAGGACCTAGATCTATTCGGGGTTGATTTTCCATTTCTAATACACCCACATACCAGTGGCAGCTTTGGTAATGCAAGGAATGCAAGTTTTGGCTTTAATCTTACACAATTGTTTATGATCTAGTAAATACCAAACTATTTCTTCATGTATGTAAATGACAGGAATAATCTAACAAATATTTAGTAATTGTTACTAAGAATGCATTTAAGCAACCTCATCTGCAGTAAAGATATGTAAATATACATGTTGAGTCATACAGATTTAGAAGCAGACCTTGTTTATTTGCCCTTATCACTTTTAGCTGCAGAAAGTTTGTGTTACTTGGAAAATTATTTGTGTAAGATAAATGGGTTAGTGGGTCAACACATAACAGATATACGTGGGTATAGACACAACCATACAAAATCCCTACTTTTGGAGGTGCAAAGAAAATTCTTTTAAGGGAAAAACTGGAAGTGGTTGAATGCTGTTCTGTATCTCCGAGTTAACCTAAACCCCATTAATTAAAAATTACATTAATTAATACAGCCCCAGGGAATGCTTCTAAATGATATATTGCTGCTAGTTTGCTTGAAGAACACAGTAACTGTTCAAATGGAATTGTCACTACATGACAAGTATATGGCATTTTTATAGCTCTCCTAAAAGTGAATATTACTTAATATATAAAATTAAATGACGAAATCTTTATATGGTGAGATTTCTAAACAACTTAAACTAAGAAAATTATAATAAAACCAAAGAAGTTCCTCTCATTGGTATGTGATATTATCAAACATGGGTGCTCTATCTGTTGCCTCCCGTGCTCTCTCCACCCACCTGTGCTGCCTTGGATTATCCACCACCAGGGCACCAGCATACTACATCTGGCCAACAGAAATTAATGTCCACCAGCGGAGAATCTTGCCCATATCTAGAGTACATCTTCTCTATGTCATGAGCTGAGGAGTGTTTCATTATTTTCAGTGTGAATTTTGGGATACATAGACCTGCAGGAACCACAGATCTTTGCCCAACACTGTCTAGGCAAACTTTGAAAAGTAGTTATATAGGATGGACTGCAGCAGGCATCATTCTGTGGGGAACTCTCCCAATGAAATCAGTTCACTGTGTATTATTGACCTGTGCAAATGACCAGAGAATCCATCTCCTGCTGCAAATTGTGCTCCAGAATTTGAGGGTATCTTTTTGTTTTGTGTGTCTTGCCCTTGTGTTTGTGAAGACATCCTTCCAAACTTAGGCTATGTCTACACTACTGCCTACGTCAGCATAACTTATGTCGCTTGGTGGGTGAACAAACCACCCACTTCAGATAGGCGCCTCCCTCCCCTCTGGAGGCTCGACCCCCGCACACCCCTGACCCCTCCCTTTCCTACCCCGCACCACCCTCACCCCGTCCCAATTCCACCCCCTTCCCCCAATTCCCCTCCCCTACCCCGCCTCTTTACTGCCTCTTCCCCCGAGCTCCCAGCATCCCCACTCCTCCCCCTCCCTCCCAGAAAGTCCTAAGTGGCGCCAAACAGCTGTTAGGCAGCGGGCGGGAAGTGCTGGAAGGAGGAGAAGTGGGGATGCAATGCACTCGGGGGAAGGAAGAGGCAAGGAGGGGGTAGAGGCAGGAGGAGCTTGGCTGCCGGTGGGTGCAGAGCACCCACTAATTTTTCCCCCTGGGTGCTCCAGCCCCGCAGCACCCACAGACTCGGTGCCTATGACATAAGTTACACAGACATATGCATTTCATGGAGGTGGTTTTATTATGCCGAAGGGGAGAGCTCTTCAACAGATATGCTGCAGCAACGCAGCTGCATTGGTACAGCTGCACCACAGCAGTGCTGTACATGTAGACATGGCCTAAACCAAGGATAACCAATGCAGTGTTGTCTTCCTGAGTCTGCAGACAACCTGAAACAACAGCTCAAAAAGAGGTGCAGACATTCCTCTTCTTTTCATTCATTTGTAGACTCTGAAGACTAATGAAGGCAATTTACATCTCTTAGCAGAAACATGATTGTCCCACAGTCCCAAAAGAACTCTAATGCTGGTTTCCAAAACCCTCAGGCTCGCAGCCAATTCCAATAATTAACTTGTGCATTTACAATACAAAACAATACAGTACAAAAATCTGCATCCCTTTGAAAAGTGAAAATTTAGAGCAGAGTAAAATAAACTGCATTTACTATCAGCATAAACTATGCAAGGAGAACTTTTCTTCATTAAATTCTTCATTTTCATATTTAATTCCGTACAAATGTGCATTTTTTTAATTGCCCTGAAGCTGAATTTCCAGCTGACTGTGCATCAGAGTATCACAGAAACTGCGGGGTTTGCAGCAGAATTTAGTTCCAGCATGTTGCCAAATGTGTAGAGCCCTGGGATGGATCTTAAAAACCATGGATCTACCTGCTCGGTCTGGACATTGAAAATTCTACAGCACCTTTGCCAAGAGTTGTGCTTTTCCTCAATGGCTTTGGCCATAATTTCTCCTGCCATAATTAGTGTGCATATGCTGTAGGCTGGATGGTTGCAGCTTTCCACTCCACAGGCAGCTGCATCTCAATGCTTTTGCATATACAAGATGCACAGTGCTTGAGAATGCCAGGAACCGGAGTATAGAAATGTAAGATATTATTTATATGTTACTTTAAATTCATTTTTTTTGTTTAAACGTTGTTCTGTTTTTTTCAACGTGTTTGTAATTTTAGATTTCAAAAATATTTAAATGAGTCCGATCAAATGTTGGTCTGTTTCAGGGAATTTGTCATGGTAAGTAAATTAAAGCTTTAAATGGGAAATGTTTCTGAAATCAAAAAAATGTTACTGTAGGATTACAGCCATCTGCAAAGTAATCTAGAAATCATGAAAAAGAAGAAAATGCACATGATGTATATTGGACTAAGAAAGAAATAGGGATTTTTGCCTGTGTCATGACAACCAACTGTTTCAAGTTTCTCTCAAGGTTTTATGCATGCCAGCCAAATGATTTGGATACACTCCAAGCAAAGACGATGAAGATTCAAGAAGGGGAGTACTGTCAAAGGAGCAAAAAGCACACACATTGCCATTACCTTCAATAGTATTACTATTACCATAGTGTTTAGCAGCCCTAGTTCTGGGTCAGGACCCCATTGTGCTAGGTGCTGTACAAATGGAACAAAAAGACAGTCTCTTCCCCTTACAAGAGACGACAGTGGTATCAAAGCACCGATAAATTAACTGTTGCTAATGTTTCATGGTATTACAGCAAAGGAGAGTTTTAAGGAGGAATTTGAAGGTGGATAATGAGGTGGCTTTGTGGGTGCTTAGTGGAAGTTCCTCCTAAGTGTAAGAAGCAGCATGGGAGAAAGCTCAAAGGTGCTTGTTTGAAATCTTAACAAGTGGGCAAAGGAGCCTGCGCATTATTGGCTCACTGAAAGAGGGACCAGGATTTTACCATTTGTTTAACCTCAGCCTATTGCTGAATGCCCAAAAGATGGAAAGAGACTGTCTTAAATAAGCATGTGAATGTGGAAATAAGCACCTTGTAGACTAGACAAACAGCAAATATGAAAAAAGGACATTTATATGGGTTAAGAATAAAAGGATATAGATGATATAGATGATGAAAACAGATCTAAACCAAATGTGTAATAGCCAACAGCTATCCAGTCAATTCATAGGCCAGGAAGGTTTAAGCTTTACCAAGTGAGACTAGTAAGGTGCCTTGGTATATCCTTAGATAGCATACTGACTGTTTTGTATGTCATCTGGTGAAAAGAAAACTGACTGTAGGGGAAATTGCCATCTGTCTTTGTCAATAAAAGGACACATTTGCTGCTTGAGCTGTAAGACTTAAGCAAGCCATTTACAGTACAGTAGAAAGAAAGTTGGGGGTTGCATCTAAAGTGTGAGAAAATATAATTTAAAAGGAATAAACAAAAATTACCATGACATATTCTATTCTATACAGATTTTTATACAGAGGGGATAAAAAATTTTAAGGCAGGTGGCCACATTAAACTTATGATTTTCATAGCTTCCTAGGGACCCCTTTCAACCAGATTATCTCGGGTATTGGTTTTCTCACAGTTAAATGCCATTACTACTGTACACAGACAAGGACAGTGAAGATTCTCCTTCCCAAATACACCTTTAATACATCATCCTTTTTTCCCCACAACAATCATCATCCTGGATCTAGTCTACTGTAGAGTACGCATGATCAGAAACTCTTTTCTTTCCTCCTTTCTTCCTTAATATAGGCCCAGACACTGATTTAGTACTGGTGTAAATCTCAGTGGTTCAGACACAATCCTGTTACTCTGTTAACCCAGCAGAATTACTCTCTATCTATAATTGTGGACTTGAGGTATGTCTACACTGCAATTAAAAAAGTGCAGCTGGCCCATGCTAGCTGACTGGGGCTCGCAGGGATCAGGGTAAGAAGCTGTTTAATTGAGGTGTAGAGATCCAGGCTCAGGCTCTAGAGGGTCCCAGAGCTCAGGCTGCAGATCCAAGCCTGAACATCTACAGAGCAATTGAACAGCCCCATGAACCCGAGTCAGCTTGCAGCAGGTTTTTAATTGCAGTGTAGAGATACCCGTGGAGACCAGATTCTAGGGCCCGATCTGAAACATACTGAAGTCAATGAAAAGGTTTCAGTTAATTTCAGTGGGCTCTGGATCAGGCCCCAGACCTCAATATTTTGGAATTGTGTAATTCATGATATTTTTTTTTAAGGATAAAGACTTTTCTAATTATGAGAAGTGGCTGTGCATGCACAAGAAAAATCTAGGATATATGTTTAAACAGTAATAAATCCCATTTATTTAATTGCTTGGCTAACTAATTTATTATTAGAGAGATAAGGTGGGTGAGGTAATACCTTTTTAAGGACCAACTACTATAGAGAGAAACAAGCTTTCAAGCTTACACAGAGTTCTTCTTCAGGTCTGGGAAATGTACTCAGGCCTGGTCTACACTAAAAAGTTAGGTCAACCAGGCTACATTGTTAGGATTGACAGGCATTCAGTTTTCAACCAGAATGCCTGGTTAAAAAGGGACCCTGGCAACTCCAGTAAGTACAGCTGACCAGGTCGCTAAAAGTCCATTTGGCTACAGTGGCTGGCATGTCCCTCTGACTCCTAGGCACAGAGGCAGCCAGGGGGTCAATGGGATCTGTGGAGGCAGCACTTGCGGATGGGGGCAGTGCGCAGAGCCCCCTGGCTGCCCCTGTGCCTAGGAGCCAGAGGGACATGCTGGCTGCTTCCCGGGAGTTGCCTGAGGTAAGCGCCACCCGGAGCCTGCACTCCGACCTCCCCTTCTGCACCTCAGTCCCCAGCCCCAGCCTTGAGCCCCCTCCTGCACTCCAAACCCCTCAGCCCCATCCTAGAGCCCCCTCCTACACCCCAAACCCCTCATCCCTGGCTCCACCTCAGAGCCCACATCCCCAGCCAGAGCCCTCATCCCCTCCCGCACCCCAACCCCATGCCCCAGCCCTGAGCCCTCTCCCACACTCCAAACCCCTCATCTGCAGCCCCACCCCAGAGCCCGCACCCCCAGCCGGAGCCCTCACCCCCTCCACACCTCAACCCCCAGCCTGAGCCCCTCCCACACTCTGAACCCCTCGGCCCCACCCCCAGCCTGGAGCCCCCTCCTGCACCCCAAATCCCTCATCTCCGGCCCCACCCCAGAGTCTGCACCCTGAGCCAGAGCCCTCACCCCCTCCCACACCCTATACATTGCTCAGGGGTGTGAAAAATCCACATCCCCAGGCAACATAGTAAAGCAAACTTAACCCATGGTTGTAGACAGTGCTGGCTCAATGGAAGAATTTTTCCATTGACCTAGCTATCATCTCTCAGGAGGTGGATCTCCTACGCTAATGCGAGAACCCCTCCCATCGGCATAGCTAGTGTCTACAGTGAGGCACTCTGGCTGCTGTGCTGCTGTAGTGGTTCAAGTATAGACAAGCCCTCAGAGAGCTGCAGCTAAATAAATGGTGGAACAGATTGTTTAGCATAAGTAGTTAACATATTTCAAGGGACCAGTCAAGATTGTTAACACCTCTCCAGTCACAAGGGGGAAAGGAGAAATGAAAAAAAATGTTTTATTATTTACAGTTACACCTAGAGGCACCACCAAAGATCACAGCCTCTGATGCTAGACACTCCACAAGCAAATGATAAGAGACAGTCCTTGCCCCGCAGAATTCAAAATGGCTGGCAAAGACAGTATTATCTCCATTTGACAGATGAGGAATTGAGGCACAGAGAGATTAAGGGACTTGCCCAAGGGTACACAAGTAATCTGCATCAAAGCTAGGAAGTGACCACAGATCTCTTGAGTGCCAGTCCAGTGCCTTAACCACAAGCTCCTTCATCCTCTCTAAGGGCTCGTCTACACCACACAGCTTTTAGTGACAAGGCTGTGTCGACACAGCCTTGTCGCTAAAAGTCAGCATGTGTAAACGCTCTTTTTCAGTATTTTGTCAGCACTTTTGGAGACAAAATACTTCCAGGAGAGCGCTCCTGCTGACAAAGCCGCGTTCACACTACCACTTGCGTCGGCAAAACTTTTGTATTTTGTGGGGGATGGAGGGGGCTTTTTTTAAGTACCCGTGAAAGACAAACGTTTTGTCGACAACTTCGCAGTGTAGACAAGCCCTAATACTTTTTAAATGTCTTCACTTCATCACACACAAAAATAAATCCTCAATCAACTCTTAATTTACCAATCCCAGAGCCCTAGCACATCTACATCTCTGTCACACATTTCTGACACAAAGAATTCTATTTGCTCCCCCACAACAGTTGCAGCCACAACTCCCACTAATAATAATATAAGTTATTTGTGAATATGAAGGAGAAAATTGTGAGCCTGGGTCTGCAAAAGCCATACTCACATGGCAACTGGATTTTTAACATATATAAAGATTACTCACCTAAGAGTTTGAAGGATCAGATCATAGAATCATAGAATCATAGAAGATCAGGGTTGGAAGGGACCTCAGGAGGTCATCTAGTCCAACCCCCTGCTCAAAGCAGGACCAATCCCCAATTAAATCATCCCAGCCAGGGCTTTGTCAAGCCTGACCTTAAAAACTTCTAAGGAAGGAGATTCTACCACCTCCCTAGGTAACGCATTCCAGTGTTTCACCACCCTCCTAGTGAAAAAGTTTTTCCTAATATCCAACCTAAACCTCCCCCACTGCAACTTGAGACCATTACTCCTTGTCCTGTCCTCTTCTACCACTGAGAATAGTCTAGAAACATCCTCTCTGGAACCACCTCTCAGGTAGTTGAAAGCAGCTATCAAATCCCCCCCTCATTCTTCTCTTCTGCAGACTAAACAATCCCAGTTCCCTCAGCCTCTCCTCATAAGTCATGTGTTTCAGACCCCTAATCATTTTTGTTGCCCTTCGCTGGACTCTTTCCAATTTATCCACATCCTTCTTGTAGTGTGGGGCCCAAAACTGGACACAGTACTCCAGATGAGGCCTCACCAATGTCGAATAGAGGGGGACAATCATGTCCCTCGATCTGCTCGCTATGCCCCTACTTATACATCCCAAAATGCCATTGGCCTTCTTGGCAACAAGGGCACACTGCTGACTCATATCCAGCTTCTCGTCCACTGTCACCCCTAGGTCCTTTTCCGCAGAACTGCTGCCTAGCCATTCGGTCCCTAGTCTGTAGCTGTGCATTGGGTTCTTCCGTCCTAAGTGCAGGACCCTGCACTTATCCTTATTGAACCTCATCAGATTTCTTTTGGCCCAATCCTCTAGTCTGTCTAGGTCCCTCTGTATCCTATCCCTGCCCTCCAGCATATCTACCACTCCTCCCAGTTTAGTATCATCCGCAAATTTGCTGAGAGTGCAATCCACACCATGCTCCAGATCATTTATGAAGATATTGAACAAAACCGGCCCCAGGACCGACCCCTGGGGCACTCCACTTGACACCGGCTGCCAACTAGACATGGAGCCACTGATCACTACCCGTTGAGCCCGACTTTCTACCCACCTTATAGTGCATTCATCCAGCCCGTACTTCTTTAACTTGCTGACAAGTTGCTACATAGATAATGACAAATAATAAATCTTGCCACCAGGACATGCAGGTGCTGTACAGCAGCCTGAAAAATAATACAATACAATAAAAACATTAAGATTTGAAAAGAATCAAACAAATAGAGGAGAGTAACAATTATAAGAGCCGGTTCATTGGTATTCTCCAGCTGTTTCACATTGCTCCAGCAATGCAAAAGAAAGGTAAATCTGAATTACTTAGCATGAATTGTGATGAGCCAAGGACTGGTCTGCAAAACAAACAAACTAACAAAAAACTAACAAAACCAAAACAAAACAACAAAAAATTTGGAACTAAATGAACCACTTCCATTTTAATTAATTTTTTTGATATTTCAGTGCAAGTCTGTGTGCGGACACTCTTTTTTTCAGATTAAGAGTCTCCTATTTCAATTTAGATGAACTCAGTGTTTTACTGACTTCAGCTAAGTAAAAAAGACTATAAACTTTGAAATATATTTTCAAGGTATAGATTATATTCTATTGAGATATAGTTACAGATGTATTTCTCTACCCCAGGGGTAAGTTAAACTGATGTAAACGAAACTGAAACCAATGTAAGAATGTCTATATAGGGTTTGCAAAAAGAAAAGGAGGACTTGTGGCACCTTAGAGACTAACAAATTTATTTGAGCATAAGCTTTCGTGAGCTACACCACAAGTACTCCTTTTCTTTTTGCGAATACAGACTAACACGGCTGCTACTCTGAAACCTATATAAGGTTTCGCACTGGTTTAACAAAGGCCAGATCTACACTATGAAGGTATAACAGTATAACTATATCGCTCAGGGGTGTGGAAAATCACCATCCCTGAGTGACATAGTTACACCAACCCAACTCCCGGTATAGACAGCACTGTGTCGATGGGGGGGTGGGGGGCGCGGGGATTTCTTTTCTCTTGCAGAGGTGGAGTAACTATGCCAGTTGAAGAAGCTCTGGTACACTGGCATAGTAGTGTCTTCACTGAAGTGCTGCATCTACACCTCTGCTGCATTTTCAGCGTAGACCCGTCCTAAATCAGTTTAAAATTACACCTCTAGTTAAATCACTGCAACTCTGAATAAAGACAAGGCCAAATATGTGTTTCCCTTATAAGTAAAGTAGATAAAGTAAAACTCTCTTAGGGCAGGAACCTTGTCTTTGCTTTTGTTCGTACACTGCTTAGTGCAATGGCTCCCCAATCCTGATTTTTGCTGCTAAAATAGAAATAACACAGTTAAAACTTCACTGCTTGAGCCATATACAGTAACTGGCCTATGAAAAGGTATTTTACTAATATATATTTGTAAATGTTTATGCTTTCAGTTTGAGCAGTTGTTTGTTTTGGGGGTTGAGTTTTTTTGGGAAGGGGATTTTATTTTGGTTTGTTAGCTGTTTTTTTGTTTTGCAATATACTATCTTGAGTTACTGGAGGAGTTTACTCCTCCAGTAACTCAAGATAGTATGTTGGTTGGTCCAGAAAGACAAGACACTCTACAATGCCTATAAAAAAATCTGAATCTTGTTTAGTTCCCGTCTTTCTAGTATGCAGGACATACGAACAGTTTAGGTCTGACTTAGCAAATGTTGTTGGATTTATCTACTTAATAAAAGTTTGTCAAACATTAGTAAAAGCCTTGGCCCAGGCTGCAATAGCTGCAATAGAGATTGCACTGTATGAGGCTGAAAGAAAGCTTGAAGAAACAAACAAGAAATCACAGTGCTGAGGGTTAGGACATCATGAAATGTGCATCTCTTGAAATCAGGAGCAAAATTTTGAAACCATTTCATAAAACTTAATTTAGTGTTAGAATGTGAGACTTGTATTATCCAGATTATAGTCCTGTTTCTCAGTAACAGAAAGTATATATTGTTTAAAACATGATTGAAATTGCTTTATCCTGTCAGATTGAATGTTCCCTGGGAAGACAAGATGTTTTCTTTCTTATGTATATGCTACATTGATACTATGTAACAAGGAGGACAATAGAAGAAATGGCTTCAGGGGAGGGTGATGCACAAAGAACATTCTCTCTCAAGGTAAACTTTGATTATCTTTTTGTTTGTTTGTTGCTTTCTTTGCATTCAGGAAAGTTCTCTATGCATCACAAAGCACAAGCAGACTTTTCAGTGTGTTCTCTGAGTTTAGATAACTATTGGAAGGGCATTCTGGGAAATGACATACAACTGAGCACACCAAGCAGCCCACATTCCTTCACAGTTTCTGTAATGCTTTCCCCCCATGTTCAGCTTCCATAGTTTTCTTGAATTTGTGTTTTCTAAGAGCTTGTCTAGGCTGGGACAAAAGGTGTCTTTGAAAAATGTCAGGTTTCAGAGTAGCAGCCATGTTAGTCTGTATCCACAAAAAGAAAAGGAGGACTAATAGCTCATCATACCTGATCACTCTCCTTACAGTGTGTATGGTAAAACCCATTGTTTCATGTTCTCTGTGTATATAAATCTCCCCCCTGTATTTTCCACTGAATGCATCCGATGAAGTGAGCTGTAGCTCACGAAAGCTCATGCTCAAATAAATTGGTTAGTCTCTAAGGTGCCACAAGTACTCCTTTTCTTTTTGTGAACTCTTTTAATTAACGTGTTTTAAAACCCTAGTGTTGACAGGGTAAGTTATATTTTAACACATTCATCTCAACCACATAATGTGTTAAAATACAACTTGCCCTGTCTACATGTGACAAGTTGAAACATAAAAAAAAAAAAAAGTTAAGAAGTTTAACATCTTAATTAAATCACTAATACATTTTTAAAAAATATATCTTTTATCCTGGTCTAACCCCAAAAGTCACTGCCATTTATGTGGTCTGCTGGAATTTTGAGAGCTAATTCTGGCTTTTTGCATGTTGATTATTTATCCTTTCTCTCAGCTTCTCCATATGTCAAAAGGAGATAAAAAAATTAGATCCACTAACCATCCCATGAAATCACTTACCTACAGCCAGGCACTAAACTACCACAGAATATGCTCCCAGGAGAAAGTCCAGGATACACCCTTTGACACACTTAAAAACGCCTTCACCAAATAAGGACACTCCACCAGAGAAATACATTGCATCACGGTACAGGCCTCCCAAATACTCCAAAAGAACCTGCTTCAATAAAGGAAAAACAACAACCCTCCAACCACACAGCCCTGGTTGTCACCTACCACCCCTAACTGGAACTCTTATGGAGTATCATTAAACAATCACAACCCATACTCCATGAAGACCACATCCTGAAAGAAATCTTTCATGAACCCCCTCTTCAGGCCTTCAAACAACCCCCCAACATCATCAAACTCATCATCAGAAGCAAAGACCCCACAGATCAGGACACACCAACTGCAAGTGGCACCAGACTCTACTGTAACAACAAATGCAAAACCTGTAGACATATCTCCACTGTTACAATGATCATCACTCCCACAACACATCTTTCAAGATCTATGGGTCCTACACATGTCTATCACCACATGATCTACCTCATCCAGTGAACTAAATGTCCCAGCGTATGGGTGAAACAAGGCAATCACTATGATCTCAAATGAACGCACACACAAAAAATGATATCACCTGTTGGTGAACATTTTTCACAAAACTATAACTCCATATCTCACTTCTCAGTCCTCATTCTTAAAGGACTCCATACCTTCAAAAGACAAGCCTTGGAGCTTAAATTCATAACTTTGCTAGACACCAGAACTCATGGATTTAATAAAGACACTGGATATATTGTTTATTATAATAATCTGTAGCAACATGGACTAACTCATTATCTGTTCCAACTTTTATTTAGCTGTGACACTCAGCTCTCATCCCCTAATGCCCCTACTCTACTTGGCTACATTGATGATATCTTCATCATCTGGACCCATGGAAAAGAAGCCCTTGAGGAATTCCACCATGATTTCAACAATTTCCATCCCACCATCAACCTCAGCCTGGACCAGTCCACACAAGAGATCCACTTCCTGGACACTACGGTGCTAATAAGCAATGGTCATATAAACACCACCCTATACCAGAAACCTACTGATCGCTATACTTACCTACATGCCTCCAGCTTTCATCCAGACCACACCACACGATCCATTGTCTACAGCCAAGCTCTACGATACCACCGCATTTGCTCCAACCCCTCAGACAGAGACAAACACCTACAAGATCTCTATCAAGGATTCTTACAACTACAATACCCACCAGCTGAAATGACGAAACAGACTGAAAGAGCCAGAAGAGTATCCAGAAGTTACCTACTACAGCACAGGCCCAACAAAGAAAATAACAGAACGCCACTAGCCGTCACCTTCAGCCCCCAGCTAAAACCTCTTCAACGCATCATCAAGGATCTACAACCTATCCTGAAGGACGACCCAACACTCTCTGAGATCTTGGGAGACAGGCCAGTCCTCGCTTACAGACAGCCCCGCAACCTGAAGCAAATACTCACCAGCAACCACACACCACACAACAAAACACTAACCCAGGAACCTATCCTTGCAACAAAGCCCATTGCCACCTGTGTTCACATATCTATTCAGGGGACACCATCAAAGGGCCTAATCACATCAGCCACACTATTAGAGACTCGTTCACCTGCACATCTACCAATGTGATATAAGCCATCATGTGCTAGCAATGCCCCTCTGCCATGTACATTGGCCAAACTGGACAGTCTCTACGTAAAAGAATAAATGGACACAAATCAGACGTCAAGAATTATAACATTCAAAAACCAGTGGGAGAACACTTCAATCTCTCTGGTCACTCAATTACAGACCTAAAAGTGGCAATTCTTCAACAAAAAAACTTCAAAAGCAGACTCCAATGAGAGACTGCTGAATTGGAATTAATTTGCAAACTGGACACCATTAAATTAGGCTTGAATAAAGACTGGGAGTGGATGTGTCATTACACAAAGTAAAACTATTTCCCCATGTTTATGCCCTCCCCCCGCCCCCAACTGTTCCTCACACGTTCTTGTCAACTGCTGGAAATGGCCACCCTGATTATCACTACAAAAGATTTTTTTTCTCTCCTGCTGGTAATAGCTCACCTTACCTGATCACTCTCATTACAGTGTGTACAGTAACACCCATTATTTCATGTTCTCTGTGTATATAAAATCTCCCCCCTGTATTTTCTGCTGCACGCATCCGATGAAGTGAGCTGTAGCTAATGAAAGCTTATGCTCAAATAAATTTGTTAGTCTCTAAGTTGCTAACAAGTACTCCTTTTCTTTTTACTGTATTACAGGTATAACTACATCCACATTGGGGTGGGGGCGTTTGGGTTGTTTTTTTGGGGTGGGGGTTATTGTCACTTTTACTATACAAGTATACAAGCCTTGTGTGTTTGTACCACGCTTAGCTCAATTGGACCCCAATCTCAATTGTGGCCTGTAGATGCTAATGTAATATTAATTTTCAGATCCTTGGATGAAAGGCACCATATGCAGTGTGTTATTAGTGTGTAACTATTTACACCCACACTACCTAGTGTTGTCTCAACTGATCTCCCAAGCTAAAGAAAGAAAAGCTAGCTCAGTATTCATATGAGAGACCGCCAAGCAACAGAAACTGAGGCCAGGCCTACTCTACAAACTTTTGCTGGAATATCCATGTCAGTTAGGCATGATTTGAGACCAGTATAGCTGTGCCAGCTGTATAGCTTACTTCGCTTGAGATGGGGCTGGAAAAATGGATGCCAGTTCAAGCACAGTTACACTGACGTAAGATTCGTACACAATAGGAGCGCTTTGCTGGTTTATCAGAAAAGCTTTTCTAATTTAGATTTGGCCTGGGATGTTGCAGGAAGTGATGAGGTGGTCATAGTTGAGGTGAGATGAGGTTCTCTGGCCTGCAATGTGCAGGAGGTCTATGAGAATAGACTATGGTATGTGCATAGGCGCCAACTTCTCCTGGTGCCAGTGGGCGCTCGCGCGCCCTCCCCCCACCCCTATTGGAATCCTCCCCCAAATACCCGCCCCAGCCCCGCCTCCTCCCCTGAGGACGCCGTGTTCCCGCTCCTCCCCCCTCCCTCCCACAGCTTGTTATGCTGTGAAACAGCTGTTTCGCAGCGACAAGCGCTGGGAGGAGAAGCGGGGACGCGGTGTGCTCTGGGGAGGAGGCAGAGGCAGAGGGAGGAAGTGAGGTGGGGCAGCAGGGTGGAGCGGGGAGGGGAGCTTGGCCATCTGTGGGTGCAGCACCCACCTATTTTTTCTCACCGATTTCCAGTCCCGGAGCACCCACAGTGTCGGTGCCTATGGGTATATGTGTATTATTGGGAGTGCTGTCTTTTAGATGAAACATAAAACCTGTAAAAAGAAAAGCAGTACTTTTGGCACCTTAGAGACTCTAGTAGGTGGAGGGATAGCTCAGTGGTTTGAGCATTAGCCTGCTAAACCCAGCGCTGTGAGTTCAATCCTTGAGGGGGCGATTTAGGGATCTGGGAAAAAATTGGGGATTGATCCTGCTTTGAGCAGGGGGTTGGACTAAATGACCTCCTGAGGTCCCTTCCAATCCTGATAGTCTACGATTTCCCTGAATTTCAATTTCAATCTGATATTACAGCATCCTTATTCACTTTATCTCCTAAACTATATATCTGTGCCATTAGAGAGCCTAAATGCTCCCTGTGTATAGTTTGTATATTGATTAGTAAAGCACTTTGGGATGCTTTAGGATGAAAGGGACTGTATGTGAATTGAATTTATTGCACCTTTGAAGGTGATTAGTGCGGCTCATGCTGGAAGAATACAATTTTTGATCTATAGTCTGGTGTATTTTATTTATTTTTTATTTAGTCATCTAAATTGCTAACTGCCATCAGTTTAGAAGAATCTACCCTAAAACATATGTGTGCGTTGGGGGCAGAAGAGGCAATGTGTGATGGTGGACAGCCAGAAGATTAGCTGGAAGGGTTTGTTGGGAACTTGTGAGAGGTAGTGTATGTGTATGTGTACTTTTGGATTGTTGTACTTTGGTGTACTTATGTATACTTTTGGATTGTTGTACAACTGGTTGATCAGCATGTACCATCTGTCTGGAAGAATTTATATAGGTAATGCTGTCTTGTTTTACCATACAGCTTTAAAATACTGAAATGACTGTTGCCTGGAAAGCATATTGGGATCACAATGCGTACTCCATCATGACTCCTACAATCATTCTGTAAAATACTTTTGTGACATTACTCTGAAATTCAGATGAGCTGGCATATGGAATAAAGGTTTACCACCATGCCTGGACAAGGGAATACGTGGATTTTTACACTGATTTTGCAATTCTGGCTTACTCTTCAGGCAATATGTCATCAGGTGATATACTAATCCAAACAAATAAAAATCATCTAATTAAAATCCAACAAAAAGGGATCTATAAAAGGCTACAATTTCTTTGCAAACAGGAGGAGCACCACAAGGAACCTGGCAAACTGCCCTGGCATCATATTGCTTTCGCTGCAGGGATATAAAATTTAGTGGGAGACCTCCAAGGTTCTTTTTCATGACAAATTGTCTCTCCTGTGTATCAGTCACCAGATATACACTCCCAAGAGGTTTCACTGCCCTAGTGATGACAATGAACACCCCTGAGCAGCTTTCTCTTTGTCACTGTTATTCATTTGCTGTGTTAATGCTTGGGGACCTCAGTGGGACCAGGCCCCTTTGTGCTAGATGCTGTACAAACACACAACAAAGAAACAGCCCCCTGCCTCACAGAGCTTACAGTCTGATACCAGAGACAACAGGTGACTGCAACAAATAGATGGGGGAACAAAAAGAAACAAGCAGCGAGAATACTATACTAGTCAGCTTGATTATCAGGTCTTTTGCTCCTTGTTCTTCCTATGCTCTGGAAAGCTTGTCTCTCTCACCATCAGAAGTTGATCCAATAAAAGATTTAATAATTTTATTAAGATGATGTTAAAATAAAAGAAAATGGTACAGAGTTTAAGTATAGAAGTTTCTGGTTATCAGGGAATAAGGTACAGGTTATCAAGGGGTGCAAAGTTTAGGAACGGGTGGTATAAGGAATACATAATCTGCAATATCCCTGATTGGGGGTAAAAGGTTAACAGGTCAAAGTACAAACATTGAGACATGGGGGTATGTTGTTCATATAATGGCTATGTTCAGGTGTGGAGTATAATGAGTGGATACGATGATGAGGCTGGATTTACTCTCATTTGGTGAGATTTAATGTTCAGTGAGTTTATGGCTCCAGTTCATATGGTCCAATGGAAAAAGTCTCTCGGTCCCTTTCTCATAGTTGATGCAGGGTGTCCTACAGGCTCATACTTATTACCTCCCCCACCTTGTCTCGCTAATGTCTTGAGACCAACACAGCTACAACAACACTGCAATAAACTCTCTCTTGCCCTCCTTTCCTGGCTTAGATGTAGGAGAGAAAAAACTCCAACATCCCTCTTCCCACTTCCCTGCCATACCTCCCCCCACCCCATTCCTTCCTCCCTCCCCTCCCCTGGTATTCACGTCTTTTCCTCTCATTCATTTGTTTTCCGCGTTGGAAATACCTCGTGTCTGTCCCCTGCGTTCCCCCCCTCCCCTCAGACTAGTCCAGCTGCCCTTTCACATGCTTCCTCTGGAAGCCCTGGCACGGAATCAGCCCCCCTCCCCCGCTCGCTTTTCGCTGCCCCGGCTCCAAGTCAGCCACACTACTAGGATCGCAATTCGGGTTCGGTGCAAAGGCATGGAAACTCCTTCCCGATCTCAGCTGTGGAATCCCGCCCCTGCAGCCGCCACTCCCATCTCCCCCGCCTCCCCGGCAGCAGCTACAGCCACAGCGCCAACTACATCTCCGCCCCCCGTCCCCCGCCCCCTCCAGGGTACGGTCCATCTGCTCTGCTCTGTCTCTCGCTCCCTCCCTCCCCCACCCGCTTTCTCACTCCTCCTCCGCCCCCCCCCCCAAACGCTCCGAATCTTCGCCGGCCGTCGCTACGGAAACCAGCCGATACCCAGTAAATGGGCACCGTGCAAAAGCAATGCAGCCGGGTAACAAAGAAGCCCTCCCTCCATGGGGTTCTGCAGAAACATCTCAAAACCTTTTGCTCTCTGTGCATATATTGGAGGAGACGCGTCTCGCCACATAGCTAGGATCCACAGCAATTTAACACAGCAACCACAAAAAGTGCAGATGGAGGGTATTTTTTCCAGTTCTGGTGAAGAAAATCAACAGCCTCCTCCAAAGTGCATTTCACAAACGCCTGGATGTTACTGGATTTGTCTAGATTACGTTTCTGTTTGGGACTTTCCCATTTACACAAAGGGGTTGGCTTCCTTCAACCATCAGTGCCGATAGCCTGGCCAGCGTCTTTTCCCTTAAGGGCGATAAGATATGTTTGCTGGCACGATGCACTTCTACAAAAAACTATTTACATCAGCTCTGGGGAAATATAACTTGGTGATTGAATAAGGCATCAAACCGAAGCAGTGTGTATAAAACCAAATCGTTACAGACGCTTTTCAGCTTGGTTTCGAAAAGAAAGATAATGATTAAACCAAAGAAATCGAGGCTGGTACTAAGCGTTTTCCAGGATGCGATCCGTTTTCCTTGAAATGCAGGAGGGAAGTTGTATTTGAAATGCAGCACAAGGGAGAATAAGAGCTTGATCTAAAAAACAAATGCCCCTTCGTGTGTTTTGCCCCCAAGAAACGAAATATTCCCTTGACTGATTCTCCTCTTGCTACAGATAAAGGATTGTTCATATTAGGGTTATTGAAATGCAGCGAACATACAAAGATCATCCGATTCTGCAGCACAATGCGATCTTTGGGGTCAGAGAGGTGGGCGGTTTGGACGGGTGTCTTGAAATCCTGAACCCTTGATTATTTTAATGGCTGTAACATTCTTGTTTATAAACAAATCGGGCATTTTGAGATTTAATCTTTTTTTGAAAAGGTAATTCCGTCAGTTTTCCTCATTACTGCTCTTTAAACAGAGGTTTAGGTCGCCTTTCCCAGCAGTATAATTTATCCATTTCAACTGGAAAAAAACAAAACACCATGTAGACCTAGGCTGCCAGACATGCCAAAGGCCACTCCCACCTCCCAAAAGAGATTCAGATCCCTGGTATTTCACACAAGTCACTGCTGTTACTCAGGTACTTAGCGGCAGTATTATTTCGAGCGAATTAGTCTCAAATTACATCTTATTTGAGAGTCTGAATGTAAATATATATTTAGGGTTCACATTTGGGAAAAGCACAAATAGATCTCTGATAACGTCGCTTCATCCATTAATTTAATGCATCAAAAATCTAAGTGGTCGCCGCCTCAGAAAACAGGTTTTAAAAATACAAATCAAGGATAATCAGACAGCAGAATGTAATCAGACCCGTAGGCTAATTTCAGAATATTTTATTTCAAACCGATATTGCTAGGGGGAGGGGTTTGATTCTGCTTTTTCGGCGGCGGCCGCGGCTGCTTTTAGCATTTTCAACATCTGGCCTACAGACCTACTAATTTCAACTCGTGATCTCCTTTGGCAAAGCTCGAACTAGATCTACGTGATTTAAATACCTTCCAAATTGGGGCGATAGAACAATTGCAATTAAATCAAAAACTCAAACCTCGAACCTTGATCTTCTACAGCAGAGGGTGAAGGGGGGCGAGTGGAGTAGGGGTAAGAGGATGAAATCACAAACACACAAGTCAAACCATTGTCTCTAATTTAACACAGAAGCAAATGGGGGAAAGAGAAACACACAAACGGAGCCACTGCAAGTCAAAGGAAATCCCCTTGCAGGGTTAATTCACCTCCGAAAAGAAAGGGCAATAAACCCATGCATCATCATTTTTAAGTGAAGAAAAAAAGAGTGCATGCATTTTTTCATTACTTTATTTATTTTTGGGGTATTAATTATCAGTCAAAGGCTGATTTCAAATTATTGCAATCGCAGCTCCATTGTTCGCTCCAATTGGAAGCCCCGCCCCCTCCTTTGTCTGGCGGCGCCGTGATTGGTCGGCGACGGGCCGGGGGTTGCCGTCAGCGCTCGGAAAGCCCATTCATCTGTGCACTTGGGCGTTGGACTCCGCATCTTATTAGCAACCAGGGAGATTTCTCCATTTTCCCCTTGTCTACAGTACGGCTACAAATCTGGGATTTTTTTTATTACTTCTTTTTACTAAACTTGGGCTCTTTTTTTTTTTGCTCGACTTTTTTTCCTCCTTTTTCCCCCCTTCCTCCTGTGCTGCTGCTTTTTGATCTCTTCAACTTAAATTTTTAAAAGGAGTGCATATAAATCGGTTCTGTTCTCTCTTCTCTTTTTCCCCCCCTCTGGTGTGTGTGTGTGTGTGTGTTGCTGCTCGCCCAGTATTTATACCAATCCAACGCTCTTTGTTTCCCCTCCTTTTGGATCTCTTGAGTTTCTTTGTTGAATAAGACAGCATGGGTGCCCAGTTCTCCAAGACCGCTGCAAAAGGCGAAGCCGCTGCTGAGAAACCTGGGGAAGCAGTGGCTGCATCTCCTTCTAAGGCGAATGGACAGGTAATTCCCCCACCCCTCCAAAAAACCCTACCCTAAAAAAAAAAAAAAAAAAGGCAAAACTTGGACTTTTTTTCCCCTTTGCATCCTGTTTATTTTTCCTCCCCTTTCGATGTGCCTTGGGCATATTAGATGGAGAATATGGCCAAAGCCTTTATCTTGAAAACTTAATAGAAATGAATGGCTTTTTCACTCTTTTGTGGGGGGAGGGAAGGGTTCTGTAGACCCGATTTTTCTTAATGGAGTGGAGCAGATAAAAATCACTGGTGCGTTATTTGAAGGGGGTCCACGCTGCTCGTAAACTGAGGAATGTGATACTTGGTTGGCTTTTCTGTCCGTTCAGTCTCCTCCGTGCATTAGCTTTTTCTTCTGAAGACGTTTGTCTGTGGATAGTCAAAAATGCCCCTGGTGGGAGGTGGATTGGTAGATAGCAGTATGAAATTTGCTCTCTGCAGTGCAAACTGGCAGTGGTGAGGTTAGGGGAGGGAAGTGGCATGCCCGGGGGTACCCTGTTGGAGAGCGCTGTGCCTGTACCTCTGGGAGGTGGCTGGCTGGAGAGGGGAAGGGGCAGCGAAGCACGCTCTTCTCTATGTTGTTGCATGCCTCGCCCCCACTCCTCTACGGACCTAGGCTCAACCTACGATTGAAACCCGGGGGGCTGACTTGCTCTGGGAGGCTTTTCGCGTCACTCTGCCTGTTTCAGCGCAGTCCGGACTGCGGGAGGGGGGTGACTCTTGGCGTTGCACTAACTTGACCCTCATCTCTGCCACCCCCCGCGCAACAGGGGTGGCGGCGCTGGAGTTGAGTGGCGCCTGCATCTAAAACACCGGGCACCCCCACCACGGCTCTGAGCAGCTGCTGCCGGAGCCAGCCGGGCTCCTTCGCCCT